CTATTGATCTTCTACCTATCACACGAGCCAAGGTGTGAAGATGGGTGTGGGTCACAATCAGGTGAACCCACTGTGAGATCTTGCTCCACCATATCATGTGACTTACTGAGATGTGAGTGGGTGTAATCCAGCTCTGAGATCCTTCCCAGATGCCTTAACGGGCTCTCACATCTCTCCACGATGACCTGGATGGCCGAGAACCTTCACAGACCTTCGGTTAGCTAAACTGATCAGAGTGGGGTGGGCCCACTCAGAGCCAAGTGTCATGTCCACACCGCCTGCCTGTAATTGAATCCACAGCGAGCAGGTTCCCACTGTGAGCTTGAAGCTTTCAGGCCCCGGGGGTCTGCAACAAATACATTATTAATGTGCATCATGGCCTCACGTCCTGCACGCTGCTTTAATAACGCGCCACACCTGAGCTCAGCCTCTGCAGCTGAACGCTCTTCAGGCCTGCTGCTGCCCCCGCGGGACCCTGACGCCCCCCGAAGACTAACTCAGCCTCTGATCGAGCAGCTGAAAGGACACAGGCTCTGAGTGGGAGAGAGAAGCCGCCCTGCGTGCCAGATTTCCTGCGAGCCTACCCGAAACCACCACAGACTGAACCCATGCATCATTTACCGCACATCCTGACTACAGCCGGGAAGCTCCCAGGATAACCCGGCACCACCAACATCGGGACTCCTGATTCAGACCCCAGCAGGACTATATGTGAACTGTAAACTAATCCTGTAAACCTCACTGCTCATTAGGAACGACAGCGGTGCCTTCAGGTGTTGTGGGACATCACAGTGACGTGACTGAGACCCAGGTATTCCCTCCACAGGTGATGTGACGTAGTCTGTGCCTTTATGGCGCTCCAGCTGGAAACGACCCGCGTGCTCACCGCTGTTAATCATCCTGCACGCACGTGCTCTCTGAATATTACATGAACGAGCTCCACGCTCCATCCAGCAGGAAGAATAACACACGCCAAAACCAATTAATAACTGATCAATAATTAATAACTCACAGCTTCAGACCAGCCAGAGAAATGATCTGCATCCAACAGCACGAGCCCGCTCACACACAAACACACTTTCAGGGTTTCAGTAAGGACACGGTCTTACCGGCTCTGCAGCTCCGCTCTGAATGTCTCTGCAAGCACTGCTGCTCTGCCTCCTGCCTGCCCACACACACAATCTCACTCTGACACACACAGACACACGGTCTTTATGATATCCGAGTGGGAACATATGAAAGTGTCCACACAGTCCACAGCTCTGCTGCACACAGTCGGCATCAGCAGACCTCAGGGGGAGTCGGCCCCTCCTGGCGGAGATTCATGAAATGAAATTAATTAATTAATAAATAAATAAAGTGCTGGGAAGTGGGGCTGGGGGGGGGAGACTATAGAATAACATTTTCAGAGGGAAGAAAGAGAAGGAACAATTCTTAAGAAAAAAACCAACAGAATAAAATAGAAATGTTTACATTTTATCGTGTTAGCTGAGTTTATTCTGTTTTGGAGTTCAGACCAAGGAAACATGAACAAAGGCAAATCCAATGAAGACAAAGTGAGCGCCATCCTGAGCACGACTTCTGATATCATCTGATATCATTGGAGCTCCTCCCCTGGACAGATATTTTTCTTCTGAAAGTTTTCATCGTGGCTTCGATGAGGACCTCCACCGGTCAGATCTCCACACACACACACTATGCTCGAGGAAAAAGGAAACAGGAAGTGATTCAGGCGCCTGATGGTGGCCTCAAACCTGAGGCGGTTAGTTTCAGCCACAAACACGTTTGCTTTCTCAAACGTTTCGGCGTTCTGGTCCCAGTCCACCTTGTTGAGCTCCAGTTCACCATTTTAGTTTGATCTCAGCTGAAGTTTAAAGACAGGCCGTGTGTTCAGCTTCCAGAGTGAGCCGTGAAGGCTGGTGTTGGTGGGTTTGCGGCGTCCTCAGGACATCTGCCGGCGTGGGGTTACGGCGAAAAGCTGAGAGATGTCCACAGGGGGCTTCCGTGTGGGGACAGTCTTCACATGATGTCCTCTGTCGATGCTGAAGACTCAAGCTGCAGCAGGTCAAAGGTCAAAGATACCAGGCAGCCTCACAGTGACAGTGATCCTTGTAGGGAGTATCTACCTGAGCGGAAGCAGAGCTACGAGGACATGAACCTACCTGAGCGGTATGATGGTGCAGGTGTGAAGCAGCTCGTTCAGCAGGTGGATGAGCAGCGGTTACACTGAAGGTCCAGGTGAGAGCGCCACCCTGAGGCGCAGTCTGACAGCTTGTGCCGCACGCTCCCTGCTTTTCACCCTGAACACCACGTTTAGCATCCCAGTCTTTCTCCAAGGAACGCCTCAGTGTTGTTTAGGGAGCTGAGACAAATGAGAGGACCACAGCTACAAATGTTCTGGCACAGGGCGAAGGTCAGAGGTCACTGTTTCCATTACAGTCACCTGTCCTCTGAATAATCAGCCAATCACCTGCTGCAGCAGTCTGAGGCTGTTCCAGCTGTTAGAAATAAGTTTAACACGGGAGACTCACTGCTGCCTCCGCTGGACGTCAGAGGAACTGCAGCGCTCTGTGCTTCAGGTGTGATAAAAACAAACACCTGAATAACAGTGACACAACGCTGGGCTCATGGTGCGTTCAGGTGCTGCAGGGCAGAAGCAAAACAACTGTTTCCTCTGCAGGTTTCACACACGCAGACTCACACACACACTGTGATGTCACAGCCTCATTTTTATTTTTTAACTTCTGAATCTTTGAACAAACGTTCACAGACGTCTGAAACACGAGCAGCACGCAGAGTCGAAGTAGATCTGCACACGCTCACCTGTTTGCGTGTCCGGAGACGACCGTGGAGTCTCTCACACCAATTGCATTTAAGCGTTCTGAAGGCGACTCTGACGCTGTGACGCAGGTTTGGTGGTGTGGTCACTGATGGGTCAGGTCAAAGGTCACAGTTTGAATTTAACCTGGCGATGCCTGGTGTAGGAAAGCAGCTGTCTGAACACATCTGGCGAGTCATCTGAAACGTTCCCACGACATGAAAAGAGCCTGTCACGGTTACCCGTCTGCAGCCGTGACTCAACTCGTCGTCAGAGAAAGAGGAAATGTGTTAAAATGAAAGTGTCTTGATTCGAGGAACTCAGAGGTCATCAGCCACAGGCGCACTCTACAGGGGGGAGGAGCCTCCTCTGCACACCTGTCCACTCAGACGATCTCACAGCTTTAATTAGCGTTGAGCAGCAAGAGCTCAGGTGGAAGAACGGGTGGTGTTCCCATCAGGTGGTGAGTGGATCGATCCCAGCTCGTCCAACAGCGTCTACGAGTGCGTGGCTGATGAGACGACTACCTGTTACCTCACGCTCCTGACGCAACCTCACCCGTCAGGCTCTACCTTTAAGAGGGAAAATGTCACAGGAAGCAAACTTTCCTGAGCGCTGTGTTGCCAATGATGCTGTGTGTGTCTGTTCAGGTGTGACGAGTGTGACAGAGGTCAAAGGTTAAAAATCTTTATTAGCAAAAAGCTTTGACGTGTTTCTGCTCTCAGCCTCTGAGCGCGTCTGCAGCGACCGCAGCAGAAATCGTCTTAAAGTGAACTACAGCAAATCCAGTTACAGCAGGAACGTCATTGACGCCGCCACTTCCTCTTTCACTTCCTCCTCCTAATGAAAGATGACGCTTCGCGGCGAGCACACAGGAAGTCAGGAAGAAGTAAGAGACCGTAAAGTCGAACTGTTCTTAACGTCGCCCACCTGCTGCATGCACAGGTGATCTAAGTGATGTCACAAAGGTGTCACAGAGGCCCCACCCACCTGCATTAAAACTGTTTGTGAGGGGCAGCCAATCAGAATAAAGTTTTCTAACAGCCACTCTCAGATCGCTCTCAGATATTCTTATAATGTGATCTGATTGGCTCGTGATGAAGCCGGAGGATTTAATTGGCTGCTGAGAAATGAGCATGATGTGTATGTATGAATCCTCCCTTGCAGAGGGAGGAGCTAAAGCAGCCTGATTCAGACAGAGCTCAGACACAGAAGTATTATTCTGAGCTGAGACTTATGCTCAGCCACTCTCATAGGTGCAGCAGTAACCAGCAGAACAGGTCGACTTTACAGCAAACACAAACAGAGCAAACGCACAGGTAACATGACATCATCGACCTGCAGCGCCGCCACACACACAGGAAGTCATTTGGTATTTTCAAAGTAAAGTAAAAAAAAAAATCATCAAACACATACAAATTCCAGGAGGAATAATTTAACTCATATCAGCTCAGTCTTCATTTCATAACTCCAGTGTTACATCTTCATCTCTACCATCATCATCATCGTTAATGTAGTGCTTTGAAACAGCAGGTCAAAGGTCAGTCATTAAATATCATCAGCTGTGTGTGAGACACACCTTCAGTCATTGTGCCTCCTCTTCCTCTCCGAAGTGTCTGTGAGCTCAGCCAGAGGGAAAAACACTAAAATCATTCACGTGACCTCTGAGACAAACAGACAATCACCAATTAAGCAAACGAGCGTGAATCCAGGAATGAGGTGTGTGTGAGTTTCTGTGTGTGTGTGTGTGTGTGTTCCATCTATAATTCACACAAACACCAAACAGTGGCTTTTACAGCTCAGAGGAAACACGTAAATGATTTTACTGTCAGCCACAGGCTCCAAACCTCAGTGTGTGTGTGTCTGTGTGTGTGTCTGTGTGTGTGTCTGTGTGTGTGAGTGTTTGAATTAAACCCAGCTGAGCAGGCAGAGAAGCCACAGAAACCCCCCCGAAGACAAAGCCTGTGTCTCTATCATTATATCTATCTGTGTGTATGTGTGTGTGTGTGTGTGTGTGTGTGTGTCTAGTGTCGGCTTGGGTTGAGCAACATTTCCAGTAAAGTGTCAGAGCGTTGCATGATGGGATAGAATCTAAAGATGGATGGAGCAGGGCTGTAATTTAAAAAGGAGGAGGCTCTCCGCCTGTCCTGTTTATCCCCCCCACCCCCCCCACCACCCTTCCCTGTGTCTTTTCCAGTGTATGGCGTGATGTTGGAGGTGGGGAATGTGGCGTCCCGTACATTCAGGCGGCGGTCCTGCAGAGTCCAGCAGTTAGACAGGGCCGCTCGTAGTGTTGTGTTTTGGTGGCTGCAGGGTGGAGGTGAGCAGCGTCTTCTCTGTGTGTTAGAGACGGAGCGTCAGCTTGGCGTCACTATAGATTCCAAAAAAGATGTTTTCAGGAAACGTCCCGCTCCGGTAAGCCCCGCCCCCCTGTGGGGAGCGCTGGTAGTGTCATGGCATCAGCAAAAACTCGGCTCCATCCAGTCCTGCATCCACCGCAGAGAGATGATCATGTGACTGCCTCACCTGTCCACTTATTTACTAACAGGAAGTGAAAGGGTGGCGTTGCTTCAGTCTCACTTCCTGTCTCTGAGGCTGGATGCAGGGCGTGGTGCTCCGGTATTTAGACGCAGCCGTACTCGTACCACACCGTCTGCGGGTCGTTGTTGGGGTCAGGTGACGCCGGCGTACTCTTTGGGCGTTCCACAGAGCCACACCTCCCACTCTCGCCATCCTTCTTCGTGTGGGCGGAGTCGCCCAACTGCCCCTCCCTCGGGACCTCTGCGTACTCGGGGGTGTCGTCAGGCTGCGCGGCAGGCGTCGCTCTCACTGGGGTTACCATGGCAATTTCTCCACGGTGAGGGCCGTTTCGGGAGGTGGCGCTCCACCCTCGGTCCCGCTCTCGCTCCGCGTAGCGCTCCGCCTGCAGGTTCAGGGAGGCGGAGTGGTGGATGGGCGGGTTCAGGAAGCTGCCATCTGCGTGCTGGTTGGACAGAGCGGTAAAACGAGCCGACAGCGGCCGCTCTCTCCCAGTGGTCCCACCTCCTTGACGGCGCATCACGGCGTCGGCCTGGCCGGGGGAGACGTCGTGTCCTCTGAAGCTGTCCGGCCCGTTGGAGCGCAGCAGGTCAGCCGAGGCCAGGCTGAAGGTCCTGCTCAGTGATTGGCTGCTTCTCTGAGCCGAGGCCGGCGACTGGCCCACGGGCTGACGAGGCGAGGGCTTCACACTCTGTCCCGGCCTCTGATTGGACGACTGCACGGTGGGCGCGACGTAGTTGGTGGGCGTCGCCTGATCGCTGCAGGCAACAGCTGAGGGGGCGGGGCTTCTAGCAAAATAGTCCGTCACCAGGTCCTCTCTGCTTCCTGTGGACACCTGAAACCCAGAGAAGCAGTCAGGCCGGGGCTGACAAAGGGCAAAGGTCAAACACACCTGAGCTGTGACTGAGAAGCCGGGAAAAACAACGGGTCGCTTTTATAAACAATGACCTCTGAAGCGGTTGATAACGGCGTGATCAGAGCGCGTGCAGCAAACCGAAACACGGCGAATATAAATGCTTCAGTTAGAAACCGCCGCCGTGCCTGCCTCCACCCATCAGCTGCACCTGAACATATCAACCACACCGTCAGTGTTTTTCACGCACCGTCCTGCACGAAACACCGAGCTTCAACGAGAAACATCTGACCTGCTGAAGCAGCAGAGCTTCCTGTTTTACTGCCGCTCTGCTCTCGGACGCTCGAGGCGCCGACTCACTAAAACACCGAGGGCAGCAAATATGTGAGTGCAGCGCTCACAGCAGCAGCAGGGGATCTTCAGGCTATTTATCAGTCGTTATCATCATCGAGCTGCACACCACACAATCGTGACATCGCTGCTCCGAACACTTTGATCTGCTAGAAACAGGAAGTGTGCTGACACCGCTGTGACGTCACGAGTTCATCTCTCAGGCTAAAGCTTCTCACAGTGTTACTCAGATTCACTGAATCATCACGTTTCAGTCTCACCTTTTGCTGCTTCTAATAGAAGTATGTGTGTTATCTGGTTGCTAGGTTACTCTATCCTCACTGAAGGTCATATTGAAACTCAGGCTCAACAGGAAGTAACGCAGGACGTCCTCGCTCTGACTCCTCAGGCTGGTCTAAACTGACGTGCACTAAAACACAAAGCTCCTGTTGTGAGACTGAATGTCACGTCTGCTCTGTGGGCAGGTCTGAGGTCAGGGGTTCAAAGGTCAGAACGTCTTCAGCGTGAGTCTCCCCAACCGAAAGCTCGCCTCGTGTGATCAGCGGCGACGGCGGCGTGTGTGCAGAAATATGTGCCTCATGTCTCACCACAGGAGGAGACTGCAGGTTGCTCTCCTGCAGGAACTCTTCCAGCGTCACCATCTCACTCCCAGGAGAAGCAGGGCGGGTCTTGCTTCTGACCCCGCCTCCACGCTGTGGCTGGGCCCTCTGGGGTGCGTGGTCATATGGAAGGGTGGAGCTTCGCGACAGGGTCAGCTGTGATTGGCTGAGACCTGTGACGTCGTCACTGGAGAGGCTGGCAGAGCGGCCCTGGCGTTCTGAGAAATCTGAAAAGAAAGTACAGCTGAGTGCGGCGAAAGTGGGAAAGGTGACATTTGTGCCTGTAAATTAGCCCCGCCTCCACAGATCACCTAGTCCCACCTCCAAAGTTTAGCTAGCACAGATTTGACCTGAAGTTCTTTAATTTCATTTCTCAGAGACTCTGTTGCAACACACCTGAATACCCTGAGTCCGTCTTTAGTAAGACGAAGCTGAGGCAGCGAGCTCTAACTCTGTTTGAGTAAACGTTTGGAAAACTGCACTTCTACAGCACTTTTATTGCACCATGTTCATTCACTCATGAGCTGCTGTAACATGAATCAAATGGCTGAATTCAGCATGCAGTCAGGTTCGTCAGTCTTGCTGACGACCTACTAAACGTGACCATGTGTGTTGCAGCAGAGACACGCGGCCCTCGAGGAGATCGAGACTCCTGCTCTGTGCAGATTTAACCAGGTGTGTGTCTGTACCTCTGCAGCTCACAGGTGAGTTGGAGCTGGACGTGTTGTGGCTGAAGTCGGCCGACCCCGGGCGACCTCTGAACGCCGGGTCCGAGGCGTTGTGGCGCGAGTCTTCGTCCAGTAACGGGCCTGTAAATGTGACCGCAGCGTCACACGTGCAGTGTTTCAGACTTCTACAGCTGCCCTGAGTAAAACAAAAAGCCGGCCTACCTCTTGGCCTGCGCACGGCGATCTGGCCCAGCCTGGAGGTGGAGCTGCCGGTGAAGCCCAGCGAAGACGACGGATGGCTCGGAGTGGAGCTCAGATGGATTTTATGGGTCTGACCTGGAATTAAAACAGACAATCAGGAAGTTCTTGTATGTGCAGTTCCTCAAACCCCAGGAATAATTTTTGTTACAGCGTCGACTCGGCTCGACGTCTGAGCTCAGCTGCACCAGCAAGGCTCAGTTTTACTGTTTTAATGGGCGCTTTTACTCTTTTAGTCAGGACCCACAGACTGCCACAGAGTGGGCGGAGCTCCCGCTCTGTGGGGCAGGAACACCTCAGAGCCCGAGCTGGAAGCCTTCCTCAGGAAGCTGACCTGCAGCCTGTGAAAGCACTGTGAGGGCTACGGTACCTGGTCCCTGTGCATCTTCTCCGTTCACGCTTTCGCTGCTTCCTCCTGGCGTGCTGCTGTGATAAACGCCCCGGCTCCTGTCCGCCAAACCTGTGGACCAATTAGAATGCAGTGAGGAGGGATTCACAGCGGCAGGGTTAATATCACTGGAAGCACAGCGGCGTGAGTGGGCGGGCCGTGAGCGTGAGGTCAGCGTCACAAAGAGCAAAGCAGGACACGGCGGCACGCACACACTCACTATGTGACCTGATGACATCACAGCGTGATCAGAGATGGCAGCTCCTGACCTGCATTCGAGGGACAGGACGCAGCTGAAGCAGTGAGAGTGCAAACACACCTGCTGCGTCCCACCTGACAGCGGACACGGTTCGTCAAAACTAAGGACACTGTGCTGTGATCTGACCAATCAGAAGCTGGGGGAGGGCCATTAGCGATAACTGTGACATCTGTGAAGTTTCCATTAAAGCACATCTGCAGGTTCAGGAACATCGCTGTCCAGACAGGAAACAACAAACCTACTTCCTGTCTGCGTACTTCCTGTCTGATGATGACTTTAAAGACGCTGGTTTTTACTTTCGTGATAAAACTAATCAAACGATGAAACATGACAGCTGCAGCGAGCTGTGCTTGTCTGAGACATGTGAACCTGAGAGCACAGGTGAGCGTACAGGTGAGCGCACAGGTGCAGCAGTTGTGATTCTGTGAGTGTTTCGTTGGGCGAAGCCTGCAGGTCTGCGTTAAAGCGGCGTCTGAAGCTTTCTGCTGCAGGAAGTGATGAGAGCGAGCGCCATCGCTACAAATCCACTTAGGACTGAAAACCTTCATGACTTTAAAGACTCACAGCTCAGAACAGACTGCAAGCTACACACAAACGCACACACACACACACACACACACTCACACAGACACACGCGCACACACACACTACTTACTAATAACACTGTCCAGAAACACGGGGCTGCTCGAGGTTGTCTTTAATGTTTTAGTGTCAGAGGTGTGTGTGTGTGTGTGTGTGTGTGTGTTTGTGTGTGTGTGTGTGCGCGTGTGTCACACTGATGACTGTGATGATGAGGATGGTGTCAGTGGGCACAAAGGATGAGGATGATGATGAGGATGTTAGAAATCTCCGTTGGCTAGGATTGGCTGGCTAGCGATGAGGTCGGCTGTGAGGTCGGCGGAGGACCAAAATCGCAGTCGTCTGGTGAGAGAGAGGGAGGGGCGGCGGGTGATGGGGGAGGATGAGGTCGGCGACAGGGAGGAGGAGGAAGAGGGGAGGATCTTGTCTTGACTTTTACTGCGGAGAAATTTGAAGCGTTTTGGAGGAGGAGCTGAGGAGACGGGAGGAAAAGGAAAGGTGAGTAAACGAAAGAAAACACCGACGTGAGAACTTGTTATGGATGAACAGCAGAGATCGTGCAGAGAACCCAGAACCCACCAATCAGAGAGCTCGTCAGAGCTGAGCTCGGCTCACACTCAGGCTAACCTGAAGCTCGGCGCCGCCGCTGCTGCGCAACATTCTCAGTAACGACTCAGGCCTAACGCCTGTAATTACACTGTAATTACCTACACATACTCAAAGGTCATGAGGCTGTACAGCAAACAGAAAAGTAATTGTACTGAAAGTACATTAAAGTACTGCAGTACTGGCAGTAGCTGCCCGAAATCTGGAGTGGATCAACCTTTAACCTTTAACCTTTAGCATCATGCACATCAAAGCAAGTGCGGATATAAATATAATCCACTCCATAATAATCCATAACACACGTCACAGCATACGCAGATGTGGAAATACTCGACTAAATACACTGAAAGTATCTCTATGTAAATATAACAGATTACACTGAAACCTTTAGTTACAGGGGAACTACGCCCTCACAGGCTGCATTAAAGTGTTCCCAGCTTCAGTGACCTTTAAAAACACCTGACACTGATGAAGGAGAGCAGGGAGGTGAGGAAGACTAGGATGTAACGTCCTGTGTTAAACAGGCTTTTAGCCGAGCTCAGCCCGAGTTCAGTGAGAACCCACAGATGTTAGGAGCATGCACCACAGAGCGAGGAAGAGGACGACGCAGGAGCCGCTGTCTGTGACGACTCATCACATTTTGCACTTGTTGGATCACAAACGCTTCAGTGCCGACCTTCTTACTGTTTATAAATGTGGGCGGAGCCTAAACGATGTCAGTATGTGACGGTTAAAAAAACCCGACGCACCCCTCTGTGTCAGTGTGAGGAAGTGTAAGTGCACGTTCAACCCCGGACAAGTCCCGATGTAAGACGTTTCCACAGCACGTCTCTGTTCCTGTGGACAAGGAGTCCACGCCGTCCTGCAGCCATCACACACAAAGGTTTGTTTTCACTTCCATCCAACAGTTTGCTTCACAAAAAACATCTTCTCAAACACATGATCTGTCCTGTTTTGTCCAGATGTGCTGAACAGCTGGAGGACACTGTGGTGCTGCTCATCGTGGACACAGACGTGGACACACGTTCCTGCTCTCAGCGACGGTCCGTGAGTGATTTTAACCCTTTATGACCCACCACAGAACCAAGTCCTCCAGAGCTTATCTTTATATCTTTACATGCTGTGGAGCCATTTGTGGGAGCATTTCAAGTTTCTATACATCAATACAACCATTACAGCCCAAATTTTAATAATATGTTTGCATTAAGTGCGCAGTAATTACATCAATTGCAAAAAAGTGTAATAAACTACAAAAAAAATTGAAAATCTTTTTTTTTTTGGAATATATTTGTAGTTAGAGAAATTTAAGAGGCTTATCACTCAAAACTGTAAATACAAAAAAGTTGCACAGAATAGTTTCCAACCACAGGAAATTTATTTTGAGTGTCTTCATAGTTTTATTTTTGAGATACACCAATTTTTATAAACTGCAGGAAAAACGAAGATAAATATTATAATGCAGATTTGCTAAAAAACAGCATCTGTATCAAAATAAACTATTTCCAGCAGTGCAGTTTGAGTTCCAAGCATCCCAGAAATAATAAAGAAAAGCATGAAGTCAAACATGACTTTTAAAAACTCCAGTACAGGCTTATAAGGTGAAGATAAAGATAAAAACCTACATTTTCCGCGAAAATGACGTCACTTACGGTTTCGGGCAGGTAATGGCGGACATGCGATCGTTCGCGCTGACGTCTATTCCAACATAGGAAGTGTTGATCAGCTGATTGGATCGGCAAAGCGTGTTTCTGGAATATTATGTTTTTGCTGCTGCAAGTGGTTTTTATGCAATTTTTGCAAAGCTATATGTGGAAGGAAACCGTGACCGAGGACAAGCTGATGGCATAACAAGTAAGTACAACTCCTCCGGTTTCATATGCAAAAAAATTTATTGCGCTAGCTTACGTGGTTCGGGTTCTACAGGGATTTAAAAATAGTTACACAAAACGGAGCGTGCCCGCTCCGACCGGTCTTAAAGGGTTGAAGACGTGCCAGCATTCCCGACGGTCCCAAACTAAGAATGTGACATCTGGAACATCACGCCGGCCAAAAAGCACAAAGACAGTTTTTGTTGTTCTTTCCTGTTTCACTTTGTTCTCATTTAGGCTCCAAAGAAACAAACAGAGGTTTCTGTGAGAGGGCTGCTCGCTCCACGTGTCCTCCACAGGTGAGGAGTAACACGCCAACAACACGCCTGCAGAAAACTCCTGTTCAGACTAAAAGTGCACAAGCAGCTGTGCAGTCGAGGACCTGTCACTGCATGTCTGAATTTAAATGAGCTGCGTCTGTGGAGCGATGACTGACAGGTAACGAGTCAAAGAACGGATTGAATCTGATAAAAACCCTGAAAATCTGCAGTAAAAATATCAGACGTGTGCACGGCTGGATCAGCTGCTCAGGAAGGTTCCAGATGTGAACTTACTGTCAGTCATGTGAAAGCCAACGGCGCCCTCTACAGGACAGAGAGAGCAGCTCCCCCACATGTGCTCTGAGCCTCTGATCCCCAAACTTCACAGTGAGCGAGTCCCCGAGAGAAAACGAAACACTCTGCAGGCATGTTTAACGAGTTTCTCTGTGTGTGTGTGTGTGTGTGTGTGTGTGTGTGTGTGTGTGTGTACCTCGGCTGATGGGGGTCACAGCTGGACTCTGGGGGCCCGGGCTGTTATGGCCGCCGTCCTGCGAGTCACTGAGGGTCCTCTGGGGTGGAGGGGGCGGGGTCTCGGGGGACAGGAGGGGGGGCGTGGCTGGTAGGGGGATGTCCGGGGCGCTCTTAGTCCGCTCCCTCTCAGCCCCCCTCTCCCGGCTGCTCTCCTTTCGGGGTTTGATGAGTTTGACTAAAGCTTTGGCTCCGGCCCACTGACTCCTCCTGCAACACACGGCAGCACGCTTAATCGATAATCAAGACCTGCAACACAGTGAGCACTCACACTTTTAAACACAATCAGGGCTCTGATTGCACGATAAAGCAGGAAACTGCGTCACTCTTTCAATTTGTATAGCGCCAAATCAAAGCACTTTAACCGACTATCAAACCTCCACGAGCATGTTGGGCTCTTTCATGTTTCCGGCCTCTGCGCTGAAACCTGCAGCCGCTCACCTGTTTGTCACAGGTGTGACAAACAACCTGGCAGCACGCGTGAGCGCTGAGTAGGATTCTGGGATTTGGTCTGTAGATGCGTATGGATACCCAACAGCTGATGCTGTGAAGTGTGGACTCTTACTTTTTAGGCGTGGGGTCGTAGAACTTGTACTGGTCCATGATCTTCTCCTCCAGTTTCTCCTTCTGACGACGGAGAGCGTTCAGCTTATCACTGACGAGACAGACAGACATCGGTCACAGTCGGCCGTTTGTGATCCCTGACGGCACCACGGTGCCGGGTGGAGTTTAGATCAGCGGTGTCAAACTCACTTTATGTCTGGCGGCCCACACACCAGTGCAACTTCCTGTCAGACGTTACAGATTCAACTGTTTTTCTGTCAGCTCGACTCGACTGTCAGAACAAAGATGACAGAAAAGTTCTGCTCGCTCAGACTCTCCACTTTATTTCACTGGACTCACAGAAAAACTGATATTTCTCTTTAATTGTCTGCTGTGGCAGCTGTTTGGGTTGGTTGCTGAAATTGTTTTGAGCTTTTCACTGAGACTCTGGCGTTTCCGTGGAAACCACACGCGTCTACATTTAAATAAGAGATGTGACAGTACGTCCGTTAAACCCCGGTACGGGGCCTCAGGTTAATGACTGTGTGTGAATGGCCATGAGGAGGTTTGAGTAGGAAAGTCCAAAACGTCTGCGTGTGCTTGTCTGTGATGAGCAGCAGAAGTATAATAATTATAAACAGCTTCACGTTCAGGCCTGTGAGACTCTATCAGACACTGAGCCGTGACTCTGAGCTGCACGTACACATTTCTGCATCTGACATTCAAACACACGTTTATCTAATATTCATCACTAGGGATGGGTATCGTTTAGGTTTTATCCGATACCGGTGCCAAATCGGTACTTTTGAAACGGTGCCGGTGCTCAAACGGTGCTCAAACCGGTGCTTAAAGAATGGAGAACACAAAATTGGTCCAAAAACCTCTCATGTTCAGCTGTTTTTTGTAAAAATATAACAATGTTAGCCTTTTCTGCAGCTATGGGGCATATATGGTATCACTCTTGGCTGGAAGCAGTGCAATGGAAAAAACACAAACTTTGTCCTAAACCTCTCATGTTTAACTGTTTTCCACTTTTTCTTTGGTCATTTTAGCCTTTTTAGCCAGGGTGAAGGGAGTATCTGCCATCAAACAAGAGGACAGCCGCATGTAGCTATGATGATGTTTGCTAGTTCACCTTACATGCATTAATGTAATAACGTGGTTAGCCTACTCAACGTAAATTAGCTACTCACGCAGAGAAGAACGGCTGCTGCTGCTGCCATCATCATCCGTCATCATTTCTGCTACACTGGCAGGGCTAGGGGCCAGGACTCTCCTCTTCGTGTTTTTGGGGGATGTTGCATAACAGGCAACCCACCCGCAGTAGATGTGCTCGGTGTGAGGTCTCGCAGCAAGCTATCAAATACGGCGCATTTCTGGGCTTTTAAAAAAAACGCTATGCGTCGCCAGGTGTTTCATCGGATTCGAGGTGTTACCTCCTTTGACAGTATCACAGTATCAGCTTAAAGCACTTGTTGCTGCTGAGTTTGCATATTTTGCTGTGAAGTACAGCCAGACTTTTGACCGCTTCGCCTTGGACATTTTTAATCTGTAGCTCTGCTCTAACAGAACGTACGTACCTGGCCCCGCCTACTATCCTCGGAAACGTAAAATGATTGGCTAAAATCTAAAGTGTATCACAGCTCAGGAAAAAAAAGCACCGAAATAAAGCACCGAAATGTGCGCTGCTTTTCGGTCTGGTTACTACCGTTTATGTCAGAACACCGGTACCCATCCCTATTCATCACTGAAATATAAGTTTTCTTTTAAGGAGCTGATTTTTATTCAGTGTTTTCATAAAAGTCTTATTTTACGGATTTTTTGCTACCAGCGAGAACACGTGAGGTTTAAGGACAATCCTCATAATTTCTGTCCTCAGCTTTTCACTCAAACACAGACAAACGCTCATTTTACATTTTCACGCTTTCTTCGCGCCCCCCCGACACGCTTGTATTTAAATCCAGCTCCCGTCTCTCTGTGTACCTGGCCTGTACCACTACACTCGCCTGCCCCCTTCCTTCTTTCACATAATGGTATGATCCCAGTCTGTCTTTGCATGTCATTGGCCGCATGATGTGCCCGTCAAAATAATGTCCCACCCCTCCCTGTGAGGATTCTCAGCAGGGCTGACGATTCAACTCCCCCACACTGACGGCCATCATTAACTGGCATGAAATTATCTCACCGCCAGATGTGGCCCACGGGCCGTACGTTTGACACCCCTGATTTAGATGGTCCAACCTGCTGATGAGATGGCAGGTGTGTGCCTGCAGGTGTGTGCAGCAGCCACGTAAAAGCTAAACACCTGCAGATGTGAGGACTGCACCTACTGACAGCTGAGGATAAACCGCGTTCGTCAGCGATCAGCTCGTCCTGCAGGACGTCGCCTGTCTGAACCTCGCGGCGGCTGACGAGCACTCACATGTAGAGCTTCTGCTCCTGGTGGTACAGCTCCTTGCTCTCCATGCTCCTCTCCAGCAGCGCGTGGTTCTGCTGACTCAGCAGGTTGATCTGACTCAGCAGGTGGTGGTTCTCCTCCTCCAGGTTCCCTTTGAGGCGACTCAGGAGCTGGGCGCACACACAGAGGAGGCGGTGACCACGCTGCAGCCCGTCAATCAGCCGTTTCAGAAAACCGTGCGCTTACCTCACAGTGGTTGTCTAGTTTAGTCATGGTGAGATCCAGCGTCTGGTGCTGCTCCATCAGCGAATCGTATTGCGCCATACACTGACTCACTTCCAGCTGGGAGGAGCTTAAAGAGCTCTTGAGTTCGTTCAGTCGCTGCTGGAGCCCCTTGCTCTGCTCCGCCTGCTGTGATTGGCTCTCGGAGAGTCTGAAGATGGAAGCAGAAGGTGAACAGTTTAAAGTCTGTGCTCACTGGCTGCTGTCAAGGGTTTTCATTGGCTGTTACTGAGCTCTGATGAGCAGCATCAGCTGGTAGCTCCGCCCTCTCATCCAAACATGGTCACTTCTGGAACCAACATGGAGGAGAAAACGCTAACACAGAAGCTTCAAAACATCAGAACCTAATGCGTGATGTCATGATTGTCCATCTTTGCTATACAGTCTGTGTGTGAAAACACATCACCTGTCCACATCTGTTTTCAGCTGGAGGTTTTCCTGCTGCAGGAGGCGGTTCTTCTGGATCTCCAGGTTTAGCTCCTCCTTCTCTTTCAGACCACGCCCCTCATGCTCCTCCCATTTCTCCTTTTGCTGTAGCAGTGCACAGTACCTGCAGACGTGCAGAGCAGAATGATTAGCCATGTCACATCACACACTTTAAATGAATTAAATTTTTTATCACTACAATCTTTCTAATCGACTCTCTGAACCACCAGCTACCGCTTCGCCACCCTGTACGACACTGCCAGTCACATTATGTCGTTCATTACAACAAGGAGAAACCTCGGCATGAAAAGTGGATGGTGGAACCTCAGGAATATGACAGCTTAATATCACCGTAACACACCAGAATGAGTCGTTTTCCTGTAAACAAAGTAAATTTTACTGTGTGTATCAGCTGACCTATAACATGTTTACATCACATCATGTCGATCTTCTACCCTCAGCTGGTGAATGAGGAGTTTGAAAAGGACATGATGAGAGAGGATTCACTGAAACTAAACTCTAATGAAATAGGAACGAGGCAGGCAACATGCAAGTGCTACAAACAACAACCTGCAGGACACAGCCGAGGTCACTTCAACCCAACGATTAGACCTCCTGCTCTTTATCGCCATTGTGCTGCGAACATCATTAAAACTCGCACATCATCAATGCAGCTGCAGTTTCAGAGTAAAACTATATTTAACTGTGAAAAGAGGAAGTCTCAATATGTCGGAGTTTGGCTGTCTCGAAGTGTCTCTCTGTGTAGCTTTTAAATGAAAAGAACATGCACAGAGTTGTTCTCCTCAAACAGAGGTGTTCACAGGTGAGTTTGTTTTTAGAATTAAATCCACTTCCACTCAGCACTACCAGCTGTACCACCCATCTTCAAAATTTAATAAATGCAAACAACACAAAATGCTTTTGAGTTATGAAGTACATATTCCTAAACCCCTGAAGAAACAGTGTTTGATTTTTACCTATAAATCTTTAGAAAGAGCCGTATTTGTTACATTTACTGAGATGAGAAGACCAACTTAAGTGCTGGGCAAGTAGACCATCTGGTTTCAGTGGTGGTAATAGATTACTCTTTGTGAGTAATATTCCAACACTGCCTGTATCACATCTTTCATTGTTCTGGTTTCTTGTCCAGAACCAGACGATGGGGGGCGCTTATCGCGGAGTGGGTGGGGCTGTAAAGTGGTATTTTTGGAAAGGTATATATAGATAAGTTGAGCAAATATAAGCAGAGTTCGGCAGGAAGAATAAGAGTTCCCGTTCTGAAGCCAGCAGCAGTCAGCTGTGTTCCAGCTGTTCTCTCAGGTGAGTAAATGCATCACACTGCCTGCACATCAAAGCCTTCAGAGCGAACAGCGATGTGACTGACACGGTGTGTAAACGCAGGTAAACGGAACTTTATTCTGTTTCCGAACTGTCCGCGTGTCTGCTCGCACTGAATCACGCGGACCGGGGACGTTGCCGCGCGCTGTTTGAAGGTGGAAGTTGGAAACCGGGAGTTCCGGGTCGTATTTCCACTTTAAAGCCGTAGAAGCCTGGAAACACCGACGATGGAAGCCGCTTCCGGATGATGCGCCAGGGCGGAAATGAGTGGACCTCTGACCACGTAACCGAAGAACTCGCGACTCCGCGCTCATTTCGATACAAATTCCGTAAATGTTTATCGTATTATTTGACAGAAATAAGGTTTATCAGGACTGCGCTCATTGGGTAACAGCGGGTCCGCCGCTAGCCAATGAGCGACCACAGTCAGAGCCCCGCCCCCACCCTTAAAGACTCCTCAGAAATCAGTCCGTGACGTCACGGCGGCTACAGCAATTATCGTTCGTGACGTTTCACAGAGCAGATTTCCCTCTTACCCGTCGCCTCAGGTGTGTCATACACGAGTCTGCGGACGTCTCTCCGTCATCGGTGCCATTTTTTCGCGGAAAAACCGAAATAAAAGTGCCGGAAGTTGCATACAAATTAAAACTCAGATATGCGAACGGATATTGATTTGAGGCTTTTAATTTGTCACAAGGTCCAACAATCAGGACTCTGCAGGCTTAAAGAAAACCTGCTTATTAAAACAATGAAACTGTGATCCTGAGCAAACTCACTGAGAGCTTCTGTCAGGTACAAATGTCCAGACACTTGTCCTCATACTCAGGCATCACAGCTGCATTCAGAGCACTGCATCTGTTTAGTGGGCCCTGGAGCAGGTTCAGAGATGTGACTGAGAACAGCACCAGCCACATCTGTGAGCCTCCTCTGGTCTTCATCACACTCCGAGTCACACCGAGGCAGCAGCTTTGACTTAAGTTCAGACCGAGTCAGAAGGAGTCGATCAAAGTGAAGAGTTACTGTTAGTGATGCTGTTAGCTTCCAGGACTGTGGGCGTTTAACCTGCCACAGGTAACATGTGAGGACTGCAGCAGAATAAAAATCATAAATCTGGAATCAAAGCAGATTTTTCCTGGCTGTACTTTACAAAGCAAACAGCACAATTTTCTGCGTAACCTCTGACCTCTGGACCTTCACTGAATATAAATGGTAAATGGCCTGTATTTGTATAGTGCTGCCCTGGGGCGCACTCACAGACTTTAACTGATGGAGCGATGGAGCACCTGGAGGGTCTCGTTGATTAATAACCATTTGACCAACTGCGCTGTTGTGTTAAACACAGCATGGCAATAACTACCAAACAGGCCAAGAACGCAGAATGTGAGTGTTGATGTTTCGACACAGCATCCCTGCGCTTACGCCCTGTTAACGCACTGAACTGATAACAGCTTATTCAGAGCAGATAACTTTCCGCCTGCTGTGCGATATGACCAAAATCTCATATCCCGTTATAAGACATCTATCGTCCCGATAACAATATAAATCACAAAAATGTAACATTTTCTGTAAATTCTGTGAATCTCCGGCAGCTCGACTTGTTTGAAGTGTTTCCAGCTGCGCGTCATGTAGCTGGAGTCGAGTGTTTTAACCGATGCATGAAACGATACATTTTTAGACATAAGTGGTAATGACCGCCGTTTTCTTTGTGAGTATTTATTACACGGCGTGCTGCCGGGAAAAGCCTGTTCTAACGTTTGAGTCTAAGGTTTATTTTTTAGCACCTGGCGGCTCTTTTTTACTTCTCATCCGTAAATAATCTGCTCTTTCACGTGATTCAGTTTATTTCGAAAAGTCTCAACAGGATCTTGAGCTTTTTTGTGAAAGGTTTATGTGGAACATAAACAAGCGGACACGCGATGCTGTTACCGTCGTTGTTGCTAACCACAACGCATAAAAACAGGCACTTGTCCATCTGTAGTGTGGTTATGTTAAATATAAGAGAAAGAGAGAACTTTAAGAAATTAATAGAGCCACTACAGTGACCATCAAAACCATGAAAAAATATTGCTGTAAACATTTATTTCGCGACACCACGAAACAAACGATAGCGTAAAATGAAACGATAGACGTTTTTATATCGTCATCTGATATATCAGAATCAGAATACTTTATTAATCCCGAAGGAAATTAATAAAGGATATATAACGAAATATATATCGTTATATCGAACAGCCTTAACAGGAGAATGAGAACATTTTTGTGTTTTCTAAAGGGTGCATTTAGTTTTAGAATATTCTGATTTGAATCATCGTGTAAATTAAAACAATATATTCATCATGTTTGCGCTCTGGAGCATTGATGGGACGTTAGTGAGATTCTGGCTCTTTTGCAGCGTGCAGCTGCCTCCTTCCAGCACAGTGATAAAAATCTTGGGTCGTGTGGATCCTCACATCATGCTGTTCAAAAAGCTCATTTCTTCTTGTGTTAGGTGTTACTCACACGGAGGATCTCAGACTTATCCAGCATGCAGAGTTCGGTGACCGTGTGCTTCCTCCTCCTCATCTTTCCCGTCAACGCACACGTCGTGGAAAACTTTGATGAGGTTTGTGCATCAGTGCGTTCATAAAGATGATAAGATGGTTTCTCTGTGTGTTTAAACCTGGTTTCTGCTGCTCTGTTGTGTAGACGTGCATGCAATACTTTTACAACGGGCATGTGCCAGAGTGGACTCCCAATGATCACGTCCACATCTGCCAGATGTTTAATAACAGGTAATGATCATATTAAATAAAAGTATTTTTTTATTCTGTTAAACTGCAGAGCTGGACTTGATGATCTGTCGTTACTATTGTGAACTTTACTTTTAAGATTCAGTCTTTCTAATTGACTCTGTGAACCACCAGATACCACTTTGCCACCCTGTACGACACCACCAACCGCATTCCCGTCTACTCTGCTTATGTAGTTGAGGATGGGAAAAGTTCAGAAACAGACTGGATGGTGGAGCCTCAGGTATACGACAGCTTTGTAAATGAGACCCACTCAGGTTTCTTCCACAGACAGCTGATCCCAGACTTCCTGACAGATGCTAAAGCTGCATCACACATTTAACATTTCAGTGAAGACTGTAAAAAGTGATGGCATTTGAGAACTTTGTGTATTTAACCCCTGGAGGGTCTTAGAAAAATGCATACACTATCGGACCTAGAGCCACAAATCGACCCTAAGACTCTCCAGGGGTTAATATTACAGTAATACGCCAGAATGAGTCGTTTTAATGTAAACAAAGTACTGTGTGCATGTAGATCAGCTGACCTATAACATGTTTACATCACTTCATGTCGATCTTCTACCTTTAGCTGGTAAATAACAATTTTGAAAAGGAGATGATGACACAGGATTCACTGATTTACGAACATCGTACACTAGACCCTATAGACCCTAAGGACATAGGAACGAGGCAGGCAACAGATGACGACTACAAACAACTTACAAAACAATACAAGGATCAATACAATCGAGGTCACCTGAATCCCAGCTCACATCATGCAGGTAAGAGAGGTCGAGCTGTTCTGAGGGGTTTGTCGTGTGTCTTATGCACAGTAAGATGTACACGCGTGTTCTCACATGTGGGAGACAGAACACGGTCCCAGGAACATGAACCAGAGAACACAGGAAAGAAGAAGACTTCAAACACAAGACCTTTAAAAATAATTCCGTTCTGTTTATGAGGGAAATGTATTCTACACAGCACTTTATCATAACCTGCTACGCTCTCATCCACCCACCAATCACATCCTTCTTCTGTCTCTACATCATTTTCCACAGGTAATGCTTCCAAAGCCACCTACACCCTGACCAACATAGTTCCTCAAAAACAAAAGCTGAATGAAAAAAAGTGGAGTCGACATGAGGCCAAACTCAAAGGTTGGGCCAAAAATTACTCCGTCTACGTTCTGGTCGGTGCGATTCCATCCAAAGGAAACTGGATCAAAAGAGATAACCAGCCAGGTGTCAACATCCCTGACTACATGTGGGTCGCCCACTGCTACTATAACAAGACATCACAGTCTTATGAGAGTGGAGGTGCCACAGCTAAGAATGTTGAGAACCAGATCTACGAGTGCACCCTGTCACAGCTTCAAGCCTTTCTTGGAAAACACAACCAAACAGGTCAGCTGTTTCACAACGACTGCTATGTGGAGCAGGCTGCAGTTGCGTCTGCAGCAGCAGGAAATCCTTGTGACATATAATCCAGAAATACTCACGAGATCACTGATCTCTGCAGAGTAATGCAGCTCATCCTTTCCTCAGCACTGCACACATGAACTCATGTAAACAGTTACTGTGATCTTAACTGTGTCGCACAAATGTCTGCATGTTTATGGTGCAGGTGAATACAAGC